CCAGGCCACCAAACGCGGACTGCTATTCTAAGAATTGCATTTACCGGATACCCTGCGAGTGCGGAGAATCATACATCGGTGAAACTAAGATGAACTTCGAATAAGAAAACCTTTTATGATTATCTGAAACATATCTACAACAAAAATATATTATATGTATTTTGATGAGCAGAAAAAGAAATGATAGCAATAATAACATCCATTTTGAGACAGATAATGGATGGCCTGCCAGATGTTACTATTTTGAACTATTTTCTATGGGGGATATTGAAAAATAGAATTTACGCTGGCAGAGAGATAGAAAATGTGAAAGACTCGAGATTGAGGATTTTGAATGATTTCGCAACAATGCAGAAATTAGGTGTATTAAGGACAATAAATAATATGATAAACCGAGTTCAAAAATTTCTCGAAATGGAAGGATTCCAATTCGAACCTTTATTGCGCCATTAATTTTTTTGTGTATATGAATTACTTCATTTTCCCCATATTACTATGCAATATCTTGGAATTACCTTAGCTAATGAGTTATGAATTATGAAAAGGTTTTTCTTGCTGAGAATATGCCGTAGCGAATGAAACTCATACATTAGTTGTCGTAATTTCTTTGTTACATATAAAACATGTTCATCCCAACTCAGGTGTTGATCCACTATTACACCAAGATACTTTAGTTTAATAATTTTTCCAATAACTATGTACTGAAATATATCTTTCTTTAGATTGGTCTTCACTAGTTAGAGAGAACGTGATGAAATTATTCTTCTGAAAATTTACTGTTAATAAGCTGTAATTCAACCAACTGTGTATGTGAGAGAGGCCTAATTTATTATATTCATATACCTTTTTCCGAATATCATTTATGAAAACAATAGCAGTATCATCTGCATATGATATACTATGTGGCCATGAGAGTTATAGAGATCAGCAATGTCATTGATATACACGTGAAACAATACTGGACCCACTACTGTAGCCCGTGGAAAACCGATTGTGATTTTCAGTGAGACACTGAGACACTCTTCAATTTTTACTCGCTGAGTCCTGTTTTGTAGATAATTTTTTAGTAGATTCAGTGCTGTGCCACGTATGCCAACTTTATTGAGACATTCGAGTAAAATTAGTTTCGAAAGCTTTGGCCACGTCAAGAAATACCGCAAAACATTTCATTGACCTATCCAAGCCTCAGATAATATTTTCAATTAGATCCATAATTATGTCATCATATTTCTCTGAAATGCATACTTTTGCTTTGGAATACACTTATGCTTGGTGAAAATTTCCATCAAACGATGTTTCAAATACTTTTCGAATATTTTTGCCAAGTTGTTTATAAGTGAGATGGGTGTATAACTGCTAGGGGTTTTGTAATCACCAGATTTATGAATGTGTGTAATAATTGCATTTGCCATTGGGAAGGTATTATACCTGTTTCGAAAGACAAATTGATTAAATGTCCTATGGGACAACAATACTAGAGTGCTCTGATTGTATCAATGTCGTGGATACTTCATCTTCATCAGCGGCACAGTCATTTTCCAATGTTCATTTTCTGATACTGGGTCTAGAAATATTGATTCATTCAGTGTTTCATCTGAAGCTATAAACTTTCTATGTGGATCTTTTCTATTTTTTTGTCTAATATTTTCTGATAAGTTATGCCTTATATTTGTAAAGTATGTGTTGAAGATATTTGATTTCTCTGTGTTATCTGTAATCTCCTTTCCATTTGTTCCTAGTATGTTTATGGTTCCTAATTCCTTTTTCGACGAAGTTGAATTGGATGTACAATTGATCATTTCTCAAACTTTTTTATAGTCATTTCCTGTTTCCATCAGTTGGTTTTTATAGATATTATTTTTTATTTGTCGCATTAGATTATTTAACATTTTTCTATAGTTTTTGAATTATATTTTAAAATGCGGTTTTTTCTATTAGTTGGGAAGGAGATCAAAAATGTTCGTAGATGAAAAAAAAAACTTAGTTTTATGCCAACGTTTCGGACTTTATTAACTCCATCATCAGGTATATACAATAGAATAATTTAATGAGTGAACAGTATATGTCAATACATATTGCAAAATTTATGAAGTTTATACAATCTCATATTATGTAAAAGACAAACAAACAGGTGCACTTACGAAACATCAGTTATCCATGTCAAAAAAACGTTTAAAATATATGTGTCAGACAACATAGGTACAAACGAAAATGAGGACTAACCAAATGAAAACACATACAACACAGACACATTGAAAATGAAAACGATATCAAGAGAGACCAACTGATTAGAAATGAACGTTCATGTTTGCCTTTAAAAACGAATGTATAAACAATAGAAAGATATCAGATTACACAGGATGGTGGAAACTTATGTGGATCAATATGTTAAGGAATACGATTCAGTAAATTGAAATAAGCACTATTCAGTCCTTCTAGTGTTAACAATTTATTGTTCGAAAATGTGGATCATCTAACTGAACAGTCGTTTTCCTAATAAAGGTTGAATATCTAAAATCTTCTGGTTTGCAGAGTCAAAACTGTGGTTGTTTTCTATTGTGTGTACAACGAGGGCTGTTGGATTGGCAACATTCAACTTCCTTGTATCTCTTTCATGTTCAGATAACCTGTTTTTTAGGTAAGGTTTCGTTTGCCCTACATAACATTCTGGACAATCCTTGCAGTTGATTTTATAAACGATGTTTGATAGTAGGAGATTTGAGCCGATTCCAAGCCTCCCCCCACCACTATGACATATAAATGGCTTTTTTTTTTTTGTTCAGTGAAGTCAAGGTGATGTGACCATGAAGTGTCTGGTGCATGATTCGTTCAGAATTTTTTCATATGAGATTTTGTGTGTGTGAGAGAATGCACGGTACAGGATTTCATCATGTGCTTTTCTATGTACAAACATACATCTGCATACTTCGAAGATCCTCCGAGTAATGAATGATCCATCGGTGTGAGGCCACCAAGTTAGTAGTGGTGTGACGTCACAGCAATAACCGTTCAACGGCTAGAGAGCGATATGTTCACTCCACGACATGTGGCTGAGTAATGCGTATTCATCGGTCTGCCCTCACCTCCCTCGATGTGGTGAAGGCTGTGACATAACGCATCGCTCTATCCCCAGCAGCAACCTTCAACGGTAGGAGAGCTAGATGTGCACTCCATGGAGTTTGGCTGAGTAATTCGTATTCATCGATGTGCCCTTACCTCCCTCGATGTGACGATGGCTATGACGTAACGCATGGCTCTACCCTCACTCTCGACGGTGACGCGCAGGCGGCGTGGACTATGGTATTTAAGAAGCGGATGAGTGTTGGTTATGTCAGTTTTCATCGAGTGGTGAATGTGGTAAATCTCGTAGTGACAACCTTCGTCGTCATCAGCTCCAGAGTTGCCCAGGAGGTCCATCAGTGGAACGAGTGAGATTAGATGACGCTGCAGCACCTATGTACACATGTAATTGTTGTAATGTGATGATTCCATTGACTCAAGTAAATTCTCACAATAGAAGTCTGCAGCATAAGAATAATGAATGTGTTCAATTGAGTGATGGTGTTCAAATTATAAAGAGTAACTTCAAACGTCGGATTGCAACATACAGGGAGCAGAGTTCCATTGTTTCCACCGATTACATGTTATTCTTTAATGAAATCAGGCAGAAAGTTATAGAATTATTGGAATCAGCCATCAGGGTTCACAAAATCATCAAAGTGAATATGGAAGTATTTGGGAGTTAACACCGTCCCGTAGCCCCGCCCACCCTCAACTCCGAACACTTGCGCATGCACGCCCCCACCCTCAATGTGCCTCAATGTGCGCGCTCCCGCCATATTCTCACCACTCGCGCATTCATGCCTATACACCGAGGAGAGCACTCCTCAACAATCAGTACGACGACTCAAGTTGAACAAAGCAGTCCAGTCCACTCCAGCTCATTCCAGTCCAGTCTGGTGAAAAAGCAGAATTTTGAGTAAGTTAACATTGTTATTTTCCTTTCTTTCTATCAACTAACTTTGTATTATTTTACATTTTACATGGCATTCACACAGGAAATCAACAACGCCGTGGCATCCAACATTCCAGTTCCAGTCGATCAGAAGAAGGAGAAGGCAGCATCTTCAAGCGCTAGGGGCCGCTCTCTCTGAGTTATTCCAGGCGGGCAGGTGGACAGGCGGACAATCTAGGCCGGTGGTGAAGAACAAGGTGGCAAGTTCGAGAGGTAAGGGCCGATTTCTCAGCCCTGACTTATTTGAGGAGGAGGACAGGGTCGTTAAGAAGGTCTGTCGACAACCTGCAGCTAGGCCTGGTCCTAAAGGGAAGTATAGAGTTGCTTGCAATAGGACTAATCCTTATGCAGGTAGTTGGACGACCGCTCGTGAGAGCTTGAGACCCTCCACGCCAATCGCAGCAGCAGTAGTGGAACAACCGAGGGCGCCCTCTCCGGAGGATCCTCCCGTCATAGTGACCCCATTGGCGGTGCCACCACCCGCAGCAGCAGTAGTGGAACAACCGAGGGCACCTTCTCCGGAGGAGCCTCCAGTCGTATTGACCCCATCGGAGGAGGCTCCCGTCGTATTGACCCCATCGGAGGAGGCTCCCGTCGCGGTCGTATTGACCCCGTTGGCGGTGCCGCTTTCGCCGCTACTGGCAACACCGGCGAATCCTGGAGTGTTGGTGCCACAAGTGCCAGTGCGACAGCCTATCGGAGAGGTGAGTGAAGAGATGGAGTCTTTCCTACAGAGGTGTAGGGAAGTTGATCTTGCTTCCCGAGCTAGTTTGGTCAAGTTGGCTAGCAATTCCCGCCGACGGGCTGAAATTGTTAGCCAACGAAATGATCTTTTGAAACGATTGGCCGAACTAGATCAAGAGCATACATTTCTGGAGGAAAGCGATAAAGCAGAGACCTCTTCGGTAGAGCGATGTACAAATTTAAAAACTTTATTAAGAACATTTTTTGTAGATAAATAAGTGAATAATAATGTAGATTGAGTGTAAAT